AAAAAAAAAACATGTTCAAACATTAAGAATACACCATTAAATTGTAACATAAATGACGTATATTATTAACTTTATACATGATAAATTATGCTCAAATTGGTGAATGAAAGTATGGAGCTCGTCATATTGCATAATTAAATGTCCATAAGTTTCTAATGCCATCATCTCACATGATTTAATTTTGTCTCCTTCCTACAAATTATATGATGGGGATTGTCAAGACAACCAAATCTTGCTAACTTCAAACAATAAGACCCTATATATATATATATATATATATATATATATATAAATCTAAAAATATTTTATATTTATTGTATGTATATATGTGTATATATACATTAGGTTTGTTTAACATTTGACGTGCCAAATTGCCAAAATGGTCTATTTGCTTCCTATTTATAGGCACGACCTAATCCTTAATATATAATAGAGCATTGACGATTTGTTAAGTAGTACGGCTGCCTTGTTCTATCTTAAAAAATAATTACAATATTTGTACACATTGATTGATTAGATAATATTCTTATATCTATTTTTTAGAAAAATAAATATGCGCAATTTGGTTGTCAAATCATTAGAAATGATAAGCTTTTTATTTGTAGTATTTAATTTTAGGATATATTTATAAAACTAATTTTCAAATTTTGTTATTTATTACATTCTTATTGTAATTTTATTCTTAAATATTTTTATTTATTTTAAATTAGTTTGTTTCATTTTTTATAAAAAAATATATATATAATAGTTAATTATATTAGACTTGATAAACTTTATGAATTATTGTGATAATTAATTTGGTAAAATTTCTTGGTACTACCTAGACTAACACTGTTTTGGTAAAAATTTAATCTTTAATTAAAACAATTTATACTTTCTAGATTTAGATTACCCCCTAAATAAAATGAAAATTATAATTTATTTGTATTTATATTTATTTATTAGCAGTTAGAATTTTAATATCAGTAATTATTTGAACAAAATATAATATTTTAATTTTTTAAAAAATAATAATGTTGCATGATGAGCCAGAGGCAGACATGTCAGCAACAAAAAATGCAGAAGGGGAAGTAGGGGTCCATGTAAATATATAGATTGTTGGCAATTGGCAATTTGGGTTGACTAGACTACCCTCATTTCTGAATATATAAATAAATAAATAAGTAGGAGAAAATTAAATTACATATTTTTTAAAAGATGAGACTAAAAAAAAAATACTTAAATATTATACATATATTAGTTTTCTAAAATAAATATTTTATAAAAAGGAAATTAATACGTGGCATAGAGTGAGTGTCAGGGGTGATCGAGATAAGACGTGGCTGAACATTATGCCACGGTGTACGGACATGATTTTGTAGAGTACCCCGTAAATTGTGTACACTTCACGTAGTCACGTAAATTTCCCAAAATCTCTTCTAAATTACTAATTGTTTAATAATTTTATTAAATACATTATGATTAAAAATATAAATATTTATATATTAATTTGGATATATATTGTAATTTTTTATCCTTATTATTTTACCAAAAATAATAATAATAATAATAAATTAAACACAGAAATTAAAGAAAAAAAAAAAAGAGAAAACTCTGATGAACACGGGATTCTCAAGATTCAACAACACTTTAATTAAATTTAAACGACTTCCCCCCCATCTAACTTCTTGTCACTGCCTCCTTCCTCATCATCATTATTAATTGAAATTAAAATACATACATATCTATATATAATTAAGAATTATCCCCAATTGTTATTACATATATACATGTGTATATATATATAGACATTTTAATTATTAAATAAATTTAAAAAAAATTTATAATTTAATAATTATAAATATTAGATGATGCTATAAAATGGATTATATTTAACAATGTAAGTAATTAAAGAGTCACACTTCACGGTTACATATATCTCACGTGAAAACCAACCATATTTTATTGCCTCAAATGTCACGCTCTTACAAAAATTTTAAAAATTAAAAAAAATGATAAAGAATATTTAAATACAGGAAAGGATAAATTATTTTTATAGATTATCCACGTGGCATTTCCGCAGTCGGCTCCACCTGCCCAACCGTCAGATAAAACTTAAAAAGGCTAGTTTCTGACTGATTAATTAATTAACGCCATTTAATTATAGTTTACACCTATAGATAACTAATCAAATTCCCGTAAGAGATTAATTTTCACTTCTTCGGACTTTTTTAATTAAATTATAATCATAAATTAATATTATTTTTAAATTAATTTAAATAATATAATCTAATCGTAACAGTCAAATTATAATTTTAAATTACTATAGTAAGTCCGTAAAAATAATTTTTTATTTAGAAAAATTAGTTTACCGTGATAATTCTGAAATTAAAATTTTAATTTGATCTAATAAATATTTATTTTTTTAATTTTACATTTAAAATTGTAGTGATGTATGTTTTCGAGGCGGCTATAAAAGAGCGGATTTGCCTGCAGACAGGTTCAGTCATCTGGAGCACTACTTCTTGTTCTTTGCACAAAGAAAGCGAAAAAAAGCTTTCGGTGTCCTCACTGTACTCTTCTCTTCCCTCTCTATCTCTCTCCAAATCTTTTTCCTATATTTTTCATTTTTTTCCCTCCATTTTCTCTCTGTTTCTTTCTCAGAATTCCAGGAAAGTCTCCGGCCAAACAACCAGCAGTTTCGAATACTGGCTCTTGATTTCGTCACTCTTCAATGCCTTGAAACTTTTCGTTTAAAATATTCTGTGTAGAGCATTTCAGTACTAGACTTCATTCTCGATCTCTCTGTCAATTTGATTGAAATGGATGCGGTTGATTTTGACAACGTGAAGGCAGAGAAAGCGAACGCGATGAGGAGGTATAACCGCCTACAAAGCATCGCGAGGCTTTTCCGCTTGGCAGAAGTGTGTCTTGCTCTGGTGTTCCTCTCGTGGACCTGCACTCGACTACCGTTCGTCGTCAAGATCTCCGGAGAGTTTATCCGCCGACTCGCCGGCATCGTCTCCAATCCTCTCTTCGTGTTCGTTATCTGTAACGGCATAATCGCTGCGCTCATCGCGAACTCCGGGAGATTCTCTGGCGAGAACAACGCTGCGGGAGACGCCGACAGCAGTCTCTACGATGAGTTTGTCAGAAACAACGAGAATCGCGCGAAGCCGTTAGGCGAAGATGCTCCCCGGGAGGAGATAGTGTACGAGGACAAGCAGGTGATTTTTTCACAGCCAAATGCGATTTCTCCTGCGTGCGAAAGCCACTCCAATCGTGACGTCAGTACAGTTTCCGATTCGGATCCGGAAGTCGAATCACAGAACCGGAGAGTTTACCGGAGGAGTAAGTCGGAGAAGTTGGCGAGAGAGAAATCGGAAGGAGGCATTCTTCGGCGATCGGAGACAGAGAAGTTCCAGGAAAGAGAGAATCTCGGCGAGAAAATCCAAGCTAGGGGATTGTATCCAGAAGATGAATTGAGCAACGAGGAGTTCCAACGAACGATCGAAGAGTTCATTGCAAAGCAGTTGAAGTTTCGTCGGCAAGAGTCCCTTAGTGTCGTTCTTCAAAGCCAGACTTGAAGGTGAATTCTCGTTTAACTCCGAATTCCAAACAGAAAAAGAAAAAATTAAAAGAGACCGTGAAGTAAAGAAGGTCGTCTCTTGCTTCCTTCTTCTTCTTCTTCTTCCACTCCTTGCACTGTTGGTGGCTATTGGTTAACGCTATGCACAGTGTTGATCTGTCATGAACATGGAATAGAGTAAAAAGATTGGCTATGCATTTACCTCCTTTTTTTGCGTGTAAAATTAAATTTAGGCGAACTTATCGGTGGCATGGTTCCTCTGAAGTTTTACTTTCACGGAGAAGGTAATTTTACTTTTATCAAGGAGATGATTCGAAAAAACCCAGTAACTTAATTCTCGTAATGTAAAAAGAATTTGGAATATGTTGTCGATATTGTCTTATTTCGTATTAATAGGCACTGAATCTGATCCGAACTGATGACAATTCACACAGGCATCGACATATATGCTTTGCCAATACTGATGTTAATTACTGTTTAATTATTACATCAATATTGTAACAAGAAAAAATTAAGAACCAATTGCATATTTATCTTCTGGATTTTGTTAAATAAAAGATGTGTATATAAAAATAATATTTTATATGAAATAATGAAAATTCAATTGTTATAAAAAAAAATCAAATAATTTAAATGTCTAACTCTAAATTAATATCGGAGAGTCCAGACCAAAACAAATTAGTATAAGAGAGTCTGTAAATATAATTTTTATTGAAAAAAAAAAAGAAGATAAATTTATGGCTCTAACGTTTTGGAGTGAAAATTGGTCAGTGTATCAGACAACAGATTATTGAATGAAGTACCAATGCACATCGCGGGTCAACTGCTAGTTCAAAATAATGGCTCAACAGGCTCGACAAGATGTATCGTACATGACTTCAGAGGTTGAAAAAACAAATTAATTAATAAATTAATAAACGAAATTTTGTAGATATATTAATCTAATTCTTAATCATTTTTTTATTGTAATTCATTTCTTAAATTTTTTCTAAACATTTTAAAAGACTAATTTCTTTGTGTTTGATTAGTTGATAATTTTGTAAAATATATCTATAAAAAAATTTCATTAAATTAACTCTTAATTTATGTCAAATATATTTAATTATTTTATTACAATAATTCTTACTATATGAGATTTATAAAGAGATTTATATCACCCACAAATAAAAACTAAAATAATCGATGGATTCAAAACAGGTATTAAATATTATAAATTAACTTATTATATATATTTTTGAGTACCAAATTAAAATTACTGATATTTTAATAACATTTAGAGTATTCTTTCAACCTGAAGTTCCATATGAGAAAATAGAGATTGTGGTAATTGTTGAATCTTCTATTAGTATATGAACAACTATGTGAATCGATGAACTTAATAGATTGTTACAAATGAATATGCTATTCCATCTTAGCCTATTCGCATATAAAAAAGTTAATTTATTGCTTATGTGATTTGCCACTTAAACTTTTTTAAATAAAGTTATGTTGCTAATATGTTTACTTCGATTGTGAGTATTGTATTTAGGTTCAAAGCCCTCTGCACTCTACGTCTAGAGAATATGTGAATTACTCTTGTCTATATTAAAACTTTATTAGAAAATAATTTAATATTAACGATAATTAAGTAACCTAATTAATAATTTATTTTTTATTATTAATTTATTAATCTAATTAATTAATTATTTGGCATAAGTAAATAAAGGTTTATTTCTTAATTGAAATTTAAAGGTTAAGAATTGCTTGATTATATTAAGTAACAAAAACGCACCTAAATAATTAATGAAATCAGGCGGGTATCATGTCATATAACAGATAAAATTATGAATGTTTTTGGCAAACCCAACTTGGGATTTAATTTTATCTTTAACACCTGCCATTAAATTAGCCACTTTAATTTCAATCATTAACTAATTAATAGCAACACAAATTTTTTAGATTTGATATGTGATTCATTATTGTAACTTTCCATAACCGAGTCTACCATACATCTAATCAGTCGGTCCATATATATATATACACACACACACACACACACACACACACACACACACACATATATATATATATAAAAGATAATAGTCACCCATTTATGAGTTTTGTTTACCATCAATCCCCACCCTATCGTTACCTTATTAATTAATCACCATCATCAATTATTTTAATAATATATTAAATTACTCTATTATTGTTTCAGCTCTTATAAGTCAGATTACTTTTTTTACATTTTTCCTTAATTATCTTTTCAACTACAAAAAAAATGGAAAATAATTATTTTAAGATTGAGCGAAAGATATGATTTAAATTCGAAAAAATTGTTATATAGTGAAAATTATAATTTAATTAAAAAATATGTAATATAAATTAAATATTTTGAAGGTTTTATGAATAATTAATTGAAATTAAATATTTTCTAGGAGTATATTTTTTAAATTATATTGAAAATTAATATATAAAAAAGTTTATAATTGAAGAAAAGAATCAATCACCAAATCATGATTAATTTTCCGGAAATGTACTTTGCATTCACTACATATATCTCCGTGATCTCCATTTGAAAAAAGTCACTTTTTATAATCATGGTAATAAATTATAGTAGTGAGGTGACCTTTCACTTTATATATATATATATATATTTCTATCCTTTACTTTTTTAATGCTTAAATTTTGAGTAGGGTATTTAACTGATGTGATTATTCTAATTAAAAAAATATATTAATCATGTAATACTTTTTTTTGGAGAAATATATATTTAAAACATGCATAATCACACAAAACAAAGATAGAAAGAAAAATAACATAACATTTTAACATGATTTGACAGAATCTCTATATTTACAAATAAAATTAAAAAGAAAATATTTTATTATAGAATATGAGAATATGTAATACCCTTAATTTATTTAATTTTAATGTAATTAAAATTAATATATAAATATAATTTTTTTTAATTTTTATTTAATATAAAAAATGAAGAAAATTAAAGGGATGATGAAATTAAAAATAATTTTAGAAAAAATAGGTAAAAATTTGGATTATAGGGGTATTTGAAAAAAAAAATTAGAAACTGGAGGTCAAAACGTAATTTTAAAAAATTGTGCCATGTCGGATGTCCAATCAGCAGTCCCGACGAACCGGAATACTATTAGGTTGAAAGAGAAAGTTGTTGTTTCGACTGATTGCATATAAAATTATGATATGTGTTATGTTATTGACTTTATAGATTATTTTTAGAAATATCGCTACGGGAAATATGCGGTAAATGATTTTATTTATGATAAATGAATTTACTTAAATTAAGAGCTCCATTAATTATTTTTATGATTTCTATCAACATTCATTTCTGTGTAGGTGAGTGGCGTGATATTCTTATTGAACTAGTATAACTTATTCTTTCATTAAGCATTTTAGATCAAGAAGACCATGATCTAGAGCTCGATCCATAAGAGGGTTGCGAGTAATACGTTCAGTTTGTTTACTTTTCATTTATTTCTTTGATTATTAGTTGTTCTTTTAGAAGGGTTATTCTTGTAAGCCCTATTTGGTAGTTTCAGTCATTGTGTAAAAAATGTAAACCCTAACTATTTATTTCACTTCCGCACTAAATTTATAATTTATCTCATTTGGAGTTTTCGGGGTCATTAACAGTTGGTATCAGAGTCGCATTTCTCGGAACTATTCCTTACACAAAATCATTGAAAACACAAAAAATAATGAATTATCACTCAACCGTTCCTTATGAAATGCAGGTACAGATAGATGAGGAGAGGAAGACTCCCACTAAACTGAGCAGCCTGGGAGGGTTCACTTCGAGA